TGTCCCCAAACACCGTTTAGACTAACACTAAGGGGCACTCTTCTCTCCATTAGAGCAGCCCTCCTTGTACTTTGGCCACCCTCCCCGCAAAGCCAAACCCTCCCAGGACTGACACAACCAGAATGCTGCCGGTCATGGTGAGCTCCCTGTCAATGCTGGGGTATTCGTCGAAAATAGCCAGGAATCCTTGGGCGACCTCCGCCTCGATGGGAGACCCGAAAAGCACCCTGAGGGTGCTGATGGACAGAGGTTAAGGCACAACCCTCTGTCAACCAGGCCCTCCTTCCCGGGCAGCTCTCAGGCTGCGCCCACCTCCACCGCCACCCCCTCTTCTCCCCCAAGCCGCCACCCCCACCCCACCGCCTCAGGCCGGGCCCGCCCCGCCCCGCCCCACACGGGCTCTTCTTCCTCTCCCGCCTCGCCCGCTCTCCCTCCAGGGGCACCCCGCTCCCCTGCTGGTCTCCATCCCCGCGGCGCTGCCCCGGCGGGGTCCCAGCCCCTCTCCTGACACCTCCCTGGTCCCCAGCGGCCCGGGCCACCGCGGCCGCGTCCCGAAGGATACAGTGCGTGTCGACGCATCGCCGGGCAAGTAGACATCAGGACAATCTGCCCTCTGCTGTTAGGTACAAGAGCAATCGGCGAAACGGCTGTCGCGTTTGTGCCATCATAGTCGCCAGAGACGCCTGCTGAGCCCACGCCACCCTGGTTTCCGGCGCCACCCTGGCCATTAAGGTTTCTGCTGCCACCCTGGCCATCTTCCTGGCCACCCGCAACACCGGAGCCGCCGGCACGGGCCTGCATGCTTGCCCTGGCTCTTTCCCTGGGAGCCGGCTTCGACCACGACTCCCCAACACCTGCTCCTCCTAGGGCAGGAGGTGTTAGCCAAGTGAAGCTGCCTGACAACGCGCCTCGAGGCCCCACGCGGCAGCACAAACCGGGCCTCCCGCAGGCTGTCTATGGCCAAGCCGCTCTCCCTGCCCAAAATTCTGGTTGCCAGGCAAAGGGGGAGGGGCGGCCTCCCGGAGCCCCGCCCAGCAAGCACGTGCCAGAACAGTGCGCACGTGCCAGAACAGTGCGCACGCGCCAATGGGCGCCTCGGTGTGTGGTCGCCTCCCAGCTGGCCCACCCCGACTCCCAGAGACCCCTTTGGCCACGGAGGGACTGAGGGGACAAGAGACCCAGTTTTGGAACACGGATGTGGGCCAGGCCCTCCACAGCCCCAGCGTGGGGGCGAGGGGACAGGCCCTGCCTCCAGCCTCGAGGCCTCGGGAAGCCGCTGGGGTCCCGGCCCGGGCTGCCAGCTGGGGATGCGGATCCCTGTGGGTGCCCACCCTGGGGCTTTGCCCAGGACTCTGGCTCCTTCAGCGACATTCCTCT